GCGTGAGCTGAAATGAATTGAATGTCATGAGTCTTTTTTCCCCCCTTTGTGCCAGGTCAAGGCTTTTCTCCTTTCTGTATGCTATTGCAAATATGGACTGAAGTTGGAAAACATTGAATAATGTATAATAGAGGAATACAGCGTTATGGTCTGTGTTTGTTCATCATCAACAGGATCAGTAGTAAAACTAAGAGTGTGTGTATAATGAGCCAAACCACACTATTTATGTAACTGCTCCACTGCACGTCATTCAGTCTCGGAAGATTCATTTCCAAACCCTCCATATGGAAAAGCAAGGACGACATTTACAAAACATGCAATTTGGCAGAGCAGTAATTAATTTTATATTACACATTACATATAATCACCTTGCCAATGGCATCATTAACCGCGATTCCTTCTGTCTGCGGATCAAATTGTCCCCCAAACAGCTCATCAGCCGCGAGCTGTTCAAATTTCCCTTTTGGAAATTACACAAAACAATGGGCACCAGAGGAGTCGTTTTGTGGCTCTTGAGTTGATTTCGTTATTATTATGCCGCAGCCATGTTAAGTCCCTTTCACTCGTTTATGCCAGTTCTCTCTATTAGACAGCAGCACTTTTATTACAGCAGTCCTTGGCGCCTTCAGGATCCATTGTCTCATCCCTCAAGTGCTGTTAAGGCCTGTTTCAGTGCGTCTTTGTCCTTCTTTAAAAACAGTGTTTATCACTTTTCATGCTTTTCTTCAGCTCATCAAATATACATTTTGTACCCAGCGTGAGACCTTTTACTGGACGGGAGATCACGGCCAGAATAAGGCAAGCGACTGGGTTTTTTTTTCAAAGTGGAGGGATGATGGATAAACCAGAAGGGGGTCGAACACAGACCTTCAGAAGAACTGAAGTGGTATAGTGTGAGCTGCTGAACACAGGCCGCCCTTCATTAAACCACTAATATAACAGGCTATTAATTATTCAGAGTAAGGTCTTATGACAGCATACATCAAGGGCTATCAGGAGGCTGGTTATTAACTGACCTGGGTGTTCCTGTGTGAGGAAAAACAGTCGAACAGATGCATGGTCGGAGAAGTATTCCCAATTCACAGTGCACTCAATTCTCAATTTTTATCAAGGCTAAATAATTGTCCTAATTGTTGTTTTGTTTCTCCTTTGGCCTGGGTGTTTAGCTCCTATGTTGGAAGGGGTGGGAGCCTTTCATATGTCTTTGTCCACGAACCATAATCAAATCCAGAGATATTTCAAGTTGCCTTTAGCAGCAATTCATTCTTACAATTTCACATTAGAGTACTTGAAGTTTGTAATTGGGCAATCCTTTTTGACACTGGCTAATGGATGAACAATGCACTTATTATAAATGTACTGTTTCTTAATGTAAGCCCAAACACATTTTTACTCATTTACAAATGTAACCCCCGCCCCTGCAACCAGCCTTTATAGCTGCATATCATTCTTAGTATGCCTTTAGAGGCACTCTGAATTTCCACAATGTGATGTAATGGACTCCTTGGACAGAAAATATAACTTAACAGTGACTCACCCTTTTTCCCCCTCTGCCATCCCCTTACTTTCATTACCTATGTCATCACACCTTTTGCACTGATTAGATCCAAGGTATCGGAAATTGTGTGTTTAACAAATGTTTCATGCCAGGCAACTCTCCCAGCAAAAGAGCTTTGTCCTTCTAATTACAAGGGATTAGGGACTAATATATAATTATGCCTTAATATGCTTTAATGCATTTTTAATGACAGCTGGGTGTTAAAGTCAAATTCGCCGCCGTCTCCGATGGGGGCGGGAGGTGAAGATTGAGGGAGGGAAAGGGTTTCTTGGCAGCTATAGGCTGCAGGGAGGATGGGAAACATTGATTTCTTTGGCTGAGGTTACAGGAGCCTAGCAGGGAGGCAGCTGCTGCATACTGAAGGCATTCTGCGTTACAAATGGTGCACCGACACTGATACGCAGTAAAATGCATCTCCTCGCCGCTGTTTTATGTCAAAGGAGGGGTGGACACAAATGTCTGTTTGAATTATGATCTGGAATTGAGACTGTATATTGATTTTGCAGTTTATGAAGGGGATGACTATGTTGCCAAGACAAGTGAGATTTGAGTACCGCTGGCAGCTGTAAAGAGCATTGAGTATTCTGTTGGATGGATTGGACATCAAATACAGTCAAAATCTACTATCTGGGTCGGCAAATAATAAATCCGGCCTACAGTATGCATGTTCTGTCAGTTTTCAAGGGTTACAGCTATTGCACGAGAAGCCCACTGAAGCAATAGATATCCACAGATGCACGACTGCATGCCCTTATAAATGTATTCATACTCACTGTTTGTTTGTCTAGGCATGATTGTTTTTCCACAACAGTATTCCACTCGTCATTTGTTTCCCCCCTTGTTTATTCTAATAGAGTGTAAGAGCAGAAAAAAAAATATCTGCATAATACTGCAAAGATTGCAAATTGCCTTGTGAGCCCAATTGGTGTGGCTTGGCCTGTTTTAATTGGGTTCCGTTAATTAATGCTCGACGTGAAGACAAACTGAATTACTTGCAGGTTTTGCGCATGTCATTATCTCTTAATTGTGCCAGTAGGAAAGCATGTGTGTGTGAGTACTGTATGTGCATGAATATGTTAACTCTCTCCTCTCTTATATTATCTTGTCAAGATCATTACAAACACAGATCATTAAGTTAATACACCATTCTAATGTTTTAATCACTGAAAGAGTAATATGAGAAAATATAATTTATTTACAGATTATAACTGAAAGCATTGGGCTTGTCAGGAACACTGAGGCATTTAATCTTAAAGTTAGATTACTATGCCATAATTAGATATGGACCCCTTGAGAAATGTTCAACTAACTGAAGAACTGGATGACTGCACTTGACATGATTTCTCTTTTCTATGCAACAAACACTGCAACGGTGTGATGAGAGTAGTCTTTTCAGTGGCAGACTCTTTAAGTCCTTGTCATGTACGGTATGTGCATGTATCTATTCTGAATTATTACTGTGAATAATTAATATTGCATAAGACCCAAATTATTAACTATTAAAAAACTTAAAGTACTAAGTCATGACAACAATTGTTCTACTGTACCATGAATAAGAGAAAAAGTTTTCCAAAATGATCCCACTTGAAGATAGATTGAAAATGTAGCAGTGGTTCACTAAGTGTGCAATGAACTGTGGGTAATCTCCTGGACCTGATGAGATATATCTGCAAGTTGAACTGAAAAGCAGTAAGATCCATATTTTCAGACCATTTAACAGGGGACGCTAAATCTCAAAACCCTCCATGCAACCGTATAAAAGTCAAAATGCATCACCAAGGAAAATGAGAGCAGAAGTCATTACGCTGCTCATCGTGACCGCCGAGCGATTCATCCTGCCAGCGAGTCGAGGAGGTCCTCCAAACCGACAAATAAACATATTAATGTGATCGGTCTTGCTCCGAGTGCGAGGCAATTAATGTTCGTCTGTTACCATGCGGACCGGAGTGTCGTTAGCTCCGGGGTGACCTTGAGGAGCCTCGTTAGGGAAATGATTGACGTGGCAAACGGTTGTCGTGGTTGACGTCGACAGTGAACGGGCGGGGACGGACAGACTGGAGGCCGGGTGGCATGGCTGCAGGCGGCAGACAGTGGGAGCTGAGCGCACCTGGATGTTATGGATGAGATCTGGCTTCATCAAGATGACAAATGAAAAGCTAAGATCTAAGGCAGAGATGAGTCTCCACGGCAACTTAAAGGGGACCTATCATGCAAAATGCACTTTTGTATGTCTTTTATACATAAATATATGTGTCCCCGGTGTGTCAGGGAACTCATACATTGTCAGAAAACAAAACCCTCTCTTTTTCCTCCGTACCCAAATCTTTCAAAACAGGGGTACACTGGATGCTGGCTTGGTAGTCGCGTACTTCCAAGTCACTTCCTTCAGAAACGAAGCAAGTATGCTTCCAAGCCACGGCTTCGGAAAACGAAGAAGAATGGAACAGGCTAACAAGTGTGCCACTGTCTCTAAAGGCTTCAACATAAACTGTACCGAAAATAAATACCTCACGATGTCTATCTAATTATGAACTTGCTTTACTTTCACGCAACACATTTTTGGTGATAACAAATGTAACAAAGTAACATATTTACCAACACATGCTCTACGCCACTACATACTTACATTTAAATGTGTGCTGCATCGGTTCAGCCATTCTCCGCAAGGGTTTTTGAAATTGGTCCGTGCGCAAAGCATTGTGGGGATTTTAAGGACGCAAAGTCTACCCATGTGCAGCCTCGAAATTTCCCCCAAACCAAGGACGCGGCCTTGGTGGGATTCCAAGAATGCTGGACATTGGAACAGTCCTTCTGCGGCACTCGATGACGTAGCATCCTTGAAATATTGGCTTGGAAGCCAGTATCCTCGAGATTGAGAAACGCCCACAATGTGTCATAAAGCAGGAAATAAAAAAAGGAACTCACCTTGTGGTAAACCAGCAAGAGAAAAAGCATTTGAGCTCCATATTGTTTCAGTAATAATCCTTGATGTGGTTTTGAACATGATGGCGTTTAATCAGGGGAGCATTTAGCTGAATCTCCGGTAGAATTCTGAGCAGGCATTAACTCCCCCTCCTCTTTTTTTTCACGCTAAGGACCCCGAACCTGCAGTTCTCTAACAGGCCTGAAATAGAGGAATATTAGGGATGTCTAAAATGCATGATCTGTTTGGTATTTTGAGCAAAACACATCATAGACATGTTTTTTATATCATAATATATGGCTAAAAATAGCATAATAGGAAACCTTTAAATGCTTCAGTTTTGCACTAAAAGGAGCTAATAACTGCATATGATAAAATAGAAGTTCAACCCTCATAATCACCTAGCAACAGCGAGAACAAACCCTGCGTTGATGGCTATAGTTAAACTGCAGAATAAATTATTTTTGGACGACCTCCATAAGAGACGCCGTACAGGTCAGTGAAAGTGTGAAACAGTACCTGTGATATCGTGCTGTTTGAAGGAGTCGCTGTAGATCTGGTGCTGGTTGGGACAGTGTTTCTTCAGCCATTTGCACACGTCCTGCTGGGTCCACAGGGCCACCGGCTTAGACAGCTTCACATATCCTGGCTGAGAAACACACAAAAATAACATTTAGAAACCTTCCATCATCTGTTATACTGCTTATATTTTGGTTTTGAAATCAGCTTTGTGCAGCAGTCGTGTGAGTGCCCTTTATTTTTTTGCAAGCTGCCTCTCGGTTGTTATATTTTAGATATCCTTATGTATGAACATGTATTATTAAAGCCTGGGGGTTATTGTTGGTGGAATACCGCTTCCACATATTGGTCAGACGATGAGATGTCAGGACTGCAGTGCACTGCATTGTCTAATAAGATACTGCTCACCCTCGTTGTTTCACTCATGGGTCGTAGTGCAGTCATGTGACACCTTCCACCTGACTGATTTCGTTGGCGGCTGTGTGACATTTTCCAGAAAGGATCAATAAAGTATTCATCTTTTAAAGTAAAAAGAAGACGCATATGTCAATCCCAAGCTGAGCAGAAACTCTCTTATTAATCTGGTATGTTGTGTTAAGCCACACCACACCATGTATTCACCTTGTCCTTTAAAAATGTTGACAACAAGAGTAAGGCAGTGTTACTTCACATAACAAGAAAAGAGGAACTTTTGATGTCTGGGAAGATTTTGTATTTATTTATTTCATTCTCTATTAAAGGTAGGGTAAGAATGGAGAAACCAGCTCGAGTGCGCTAGAATTTGAAACTATGCAGCCAAAAAGATCTGCCCCTTCCTTCAGACTTCCTTACAGAGCCCCTCCTCCAACACATGAACGCGCACATGACCAATGAGGGCACGAGATAAGTTTGTGCACAGATGGAAGGCTGACAGGCAGGTAGGCCATCCAGTTATTTTAGCCGGGCCGGCTCAGATGATTGGTCGTGCTTTTTACAGCGCCACGGCTTCCACAGATGACATTTTTTATGTATTTATTGTCAAAGCATCTCATGTATTCATTGCTATAGGGATGTTAAGAGCATTCCATGGAATATAACAAAAAGTGTATCTGAAGTGAATTACTTACCCCACCTTAAAGCAGTCATCCAAATTTAAATAAGATCCGTCTATTCTGCTAGATTATTGGTCTTTACAGTGTCTGCCACAGAGACTGGGGAGCTTTTCATTGTGCCCAGCCTGTCAAGCATGTTGAATAATGTTTCCTTCTCTGAAACAGTATGAATATTTTGAAAGATGCATTATGTATAGCAGCTTTTAATGATATAATGCTACCTGTAACAGCACATAGCCACCACACATATTCATTTTTTCGTTAAAATTGTGGAAATTAACTAAGCAAAAACACCATACAAATAAGACAATACAATAGCTTTGTCTAAAACAGAGGAGGCCACATCCAGTAGACTGCTAGCTTAACAAATAATGTGTGATTTGTTTTCTTGATATATCCAACACGATTTCCTAGAAACTGAGGTGACTCATTAAATAGTTTTGAACAGCAGTCCAAAAATAAATAAAAGGTCAGGTTAAAGTTGAACAAATCAGAGAAAGGCACCAAGTGCTCAAATTCAAATAGCTAGAATGTAGAGTGGGAATAAAACACCAACAACTTTCTGCCATTATGAATCACTACCATTTCAAGTTGACATAAAGGTTTTAAATCAACATTGGAGCTGTCAATCCAGGCTTTGGTAGAGATCAAAATCCAAACCATCCAAGCTAATTCAAGTATTGCTCCACATCACCCCTATTGGCACACACGCCAGTAATGTGGTTGTAACCACTTTGTGCAAAATGAAGGTTTAATCTGCAAAAAAATAGGTCACTTCATATATTGTATTAAACATTTATGCAATATAATGCTCACATACGCACATTAGGGCTGGGGGGTATGAATTACATACAATTTGTTTTAATCAAATAAATCAATATAAATATAGTAGTATTGTAGTGTTCACTATTTGTGGTTTTGATGAATAATCATTGGTATATTGGGCAAATATGGGTAAAGATTAATAATTAAAAAGTACTTCACTCTCCTGTTACAATACAATATCAAAAATCTAAGGAGATATCTAGTCTCATATCATGGTATCGATATACTATCAATATATTGCCCAGCCCTAATTGACATGCACATATCTGTATTGCACTGTCCTCTGGTTGTGAGATAGTTTAAATACTTCAACAGCGGGCGGAGCAGTAACCTGCCAAATGGACCGCTCTTGAAAGTGCTGGCTGTGCTTTTGATTCTGATTGAGGGGCTCCTGAAATTACAAACGGAGAGAGGTGATTACAATTTCACATAAACTCCCATCTACTCCAGCATGCTCTCTGGCTGCCATGTGGTGTGGCATAGCAATGGAAAGCCTTCTCTTCTCCACCCAGAAGAGAGCAGAATAACAGGTACCGGCAGCATTTCCTCTCCTTCAAGCTCTCACCCCCCATCCCTCATCTCTTCCACTGTATTCAATCTTGCCCAGTCCCTGTCAGATCTATCACATTGTCTTTCTCACTTCCTCTGCTCACATACTGCATCTCGCATCTCTCCCGTCTATCTCACCTGTTTCTTATTATATGACACTACCTCAGCCTCTCCTCCTTTGTGACTTTCCACAGCTCCTTCCCACTCACTCTATATCTAGCACCCCAGAGAGAAAGAGAAATTGGGGGAGATGTACATGCTGGTTTTGGCATGCGGTCTACATCCCCTGCACGTAGGAGAAGTGACAGACAGTCAAGGCGAGCAGGTAGGTGAAGCCGCAGTTCTTAATGTGTGGATAGATGAATGTGCGGGGAGGGGAGGAAATGGTGTTGCAGGTAGAAGCCACATTAACCATTAAACACATCTCAACGTAATGCTAATTGAGCCTAACTAAGAGCCTGGGGCGACAGGAGGACGCCTGGATGGAGAGAAAGTAGAGGAGTGTGTGTGTGTTTAAAGCATGCGAGGAAATGGGGAGTTTGGGAGAGTTGCAGTAGCAGGAGAGAAAGCAGAGGATGCTGGGAGTGTTGAGGGTGGCTTGACTAAGAAATGAAGCAAAGGGAATAAGGAAGGAGAGCAGAAAGAAAAAAAACCTCCAGAATGGACTCGACATAATTTGACACAGGAGACTCTCTCATTTTCCATGAACAAATTTGTGAGTCAATGGCCATCTGTGTTTTACATTCTGCACCGATTTAGCCCATAGCTGTGTTCCCGGGGCCGGGTACAATAGGTGAGCCGGAGCCTTCCTGCCTGCCAGGCAGCAAACAGAGCCAAAGGGCGGAGAGGAAACAGCAGAGAGGAGAAAACAGGAATCATTCTCAAAGAGCAGTGTTCAAGAGACGGGAGGGCCAATTAGAGATTTGAGTGACAGCACAGGGGTGAGAGGAGAAGCCTGCTTTATTTCTAAGTGGGATACGTCTGGGAACGGGCAGACACATATATAAATATATATCCACATGTGCAGCCCAGTCGACCATCTGGAAAATAAAAAGTAATGTATACACACCAACCATCCGATTGCCAACTTTCAGTGTATTCAGCGAGTTGCTGCCTTTGGCTTTTAATTGATAACTGAAAGCCCAGTACAGCTCCCAGTATTCTTCACGTTACCTTAGCAACAGAGCAAGGACAACCTCAGAAATTAAAAAGGCGATGAATAAAGCCTTTGGGGGGGGGAAACCGTGCGGCCCAAACATGAACCAAGAATGTGGAATGAATATCCAGACATTAGGGACCACAGTGGAAAACCATTACTTACATAATGAAGCATGTAATCGTGCTAACACTGATAAAAATTCAAAGATCCAATATGAATGTACTCGGCTAAATTAATCAAGAGGCAATCTTATGGCATTCTTTGTGGAGACACTGTTGGAATACAAAAAGGAGCTGGGGATTATGAGCGCTAAAAGGCACTCTAGCGACAAACACTGTGCGATAGAGAGAATTTGGCAGTTGTGTTGAATACAGCGGTATTTGTTTCATAGGAGAGCTTCATCCCCACCCCCACATCCCATCATTCCGGCTCCAATATTGTTGGGCTGATTGCAGGGTCAAATGGCTTTACACTCAATTAAAAATGTTAACTACAGCAGAAATGTCCCCCATAATGACATTGTTCTGTCAACAATTAACTGTGTTTTGTATTAAACTCGCCACAGAGACCTTATAATGTCACGTAGCTTTCACAGTTTTTTTTTTTTTACTTACACAAAAATAACAGCCCTGGTTATTTCCCCAGACAAAAGAAGTGGGCAGTGTTCATTTATTGAGCAAATGCGTACAAGGGCAAAACAAATATTCAATCGCTCTTTGACAGGGCAGGAGCTGTTACTGTTGTTCAGAACCATTAAAGCTGTCTGGCAGCGTTCATTAGGAGGAATATTGTTTGTTGGATGAAACAGGGCTTTGTGCAAAACAATGCAATCCAGATTCATTGTCTAATCATGTTTTGAAAAACAAAACCCGAGATGTCAGACTTTAAAAGAATATCAGAAAAAGGCGACAAGCTCAGTTTCTACTTACGGTACATGATGTAATATAATCTTCAGATCCAGGGGAAAGGTCTTTTATGAGGCAATTATTAGTCAACTTGATGTTGTCAACATTACATATGAATATAAGGGAAATAAGCATAATGCCTCTGCACAGGCTGGTCCCAAAGTGCCTGTTTATAAATCCCATTTTAAAGTCTATATTCTCTATATTTGTACTCACTATGAGGTGCATTAATTACATCATTCTATGTTTTTTTGGTATGTTATGATTGTACAACATATCTGCTTATTAATACATTTGGATGGATTTGATGATGTCTATTATTTAAATCAAAATGCAGCAGCCCTTGTGTATACGTTGTGTGTTAACGTCATCAGGAACTGGGGATAATTCCACACAATTTCAACTTTTATACAGCTAGACTTTGGAGCAGTCATAAACCCAATAAAAAAATTGGACCAAAGCAACATTTTGATGTTCTTAGATAATCAGCTAATAAGTTTTCTTTGATAGAAACTGTAAAAGGGAGAGGGTTCCCAGACCAGTAAATTGCTGTGAAAACTGCATCAAAACATAGTCATAATCCAGTTATGGATAGAGCAATAAAGTTGTGTTAAGGACTACAATGACAAACACATCAAACATTACATTATAGTGCTTTATGTATATTTAATGTTTATATCCTGCTTAGAAATATGGAGGTTATCCTCTTGCATAAACCTTCCTTTCACTTATCAGTCCATGAATTCATTGCACATAAAATCTGCACGCTTTTCTGTTTATTTGAAGCATTTTTTTAAACACAAGCAATAAACAGCAAAGGTTGCATTAGACTGGGGTCCTTCCCCTGCCTGCATATTGAACTTGCTCACTTAACATCTGCAGGATCCACTGTCACATGCTACCCTCTAGTGTCCGAACTGAACACTGCAACAACTTCGTTTTTAAAGTGTGACTGGACAGAAAAGCGCTGAGGACGAGGAGGAGGAGGAGGAGGAGGGCTGATGCCATTAGCGTCATGTTGACTGAGTGAATGGCTGTGTGAGACACGGAGCCCAGTGTCGTCGGCCCTATCTTAACCGCACAGCTAATTAACAGCTCTGGCATGCTCTCTCTCTCTCACTTTCCCTTTCCTTTCTCCCTGCCTCGCTCCATTTCCCTCAGCCAGGGCTGGCAGGAGATGAAAATTCCCTGTATTAATTAATCTGTTACATACAGGAATAGGGATGAAAATGAGATACATCTCTGTGTATGTGTCCAGAGAGCTGATGATGGCTGTAGGAGAATAACATGCTATGCTGGGTGAATTAATAATCCCCCTCGTAAGGAGCCTCAACTTCACACAGGCACATCAAAGAAAGTGCACAAGACCCCTTCACAGTCCTGACCTTGGGATTTGCCAGGGTCCATAAAGCATTTCAGAGTGTGTTAACACCAAACAAGATATATTCACCTTGGGTTTGATATTGATTAGTACTGAGATGAGATGATTTGCTATGGATGTTACAGCCATCCAGCGAGTCTAAAAGGCTGATTTATGCCTCGTGTTGAAGCTATGGCTGAGCCTTGGCCCCATTACAAACCCAGCCGTGCACAGATTCAGCTTTAATCAAATGTTGTTTTAGAAATTATCACTGCTGATGTGATTTACCTGAAATGACCTAATGTATGATTTTCTTAGTACATACTCAGGTCTGCGTTTATTATATATATATATACACACATACATATTTGTTCAGTGCTAAATATACCATAATAGGTTCTTACTGTATGCTCTTCATGAACCCATACTAAAACAAGACTGCAAAATTGTAGGTTCCTATCAGTAAACTGTGAAAATAGTTTCAAGAAATCCTATAAATCACAGGTGGTGTGTGTTAGTATTTTAGTTTACACAGAGCCCACATATTCCTTTAAACTTGGAAATACGTGACATAAGTAAAGCTGTAGACAATCACAGTTACACATGGACTTTAGTTGTTGGCTATAAAGTTCTAAAAAGCTGCAAACCTCCTATATATCTTAAGTATTTATAAATAATATGTGGCCCCTGGCTGTGTTAAAATATATTGCCATTCTACTGTATGTACCAATAGTCTTTATGCACTTGATCTATTGGATTTCCCCCAAAGAGAAACACTTTTTCTTAAGTGGAATCAAGAGACACCAAAATGAGACAAAGAGCTTAGTCAGGTAAATTATAACAATGCAGTACCTCCTCCAGGTTTATAATGCAACACAGCTATAATAGGAACGTTACCATGATATCAAATGACATGATGATACCTGCAAAGACTACGAAGCATGGATAAATGTTACAGCAACCCGGAAACTCTGAAATAATTTACAGTCAAAGCACAATACAAAGCGTGTGTGTGTGTTTGTGTGCACTAATTGAACCAAGGCCTTGGTATTTCCAAAAGTCCATGCGGGGATTACACAGAGGACTATGTCAGACTGCTTTGATTGACAGCTGATTATCACAGATTCCACACAGAGAAAAGAGAACACAAATATGCGTGTGTGTTTGTTTGTGTGTGTGCGCATGCATGTGGAAGAAGCGATTCCTCACATATCCTCCTAGAGTCCTAACCACACGGCCTATTTCTGGAGAGGAAGCAAGACATTTATTCTGCATTGCTGATGATGCTCTGATCTATTATCAGAAACACAGAGGAAGAGTCTTTCCTGTTTTATTCTCTGTTAAAATATGTGTTTGTACTGAAGGGGTAGATGTGTGGAACATGGGGGAATATTATTAAGAGGGTGGTTGATTTGTTTTGTGTAGCAAGCAGGATGTTTGACTGTTATTTGATCACACATACAATCAATTTAGTACCAAGGAAAGGAAATTAACAGCACAGCGCAAGCAGAACTCTCAAAATATCGAAATATGTTGTGAATTTTCTGATATGGAAAGTGTCAACAGCCATACAGTATAAACGGCTATTTCCAGGGTACGAGGTAAACGCTAAGCTGTGTTTTGAACTAAATGCCAACATCAGCACGACTGGAACATACAATGACAATGCTAACTGCATCATATTTCAAGTCTGTCTGTTCACAGGTCACAGTTCGGTTGGGTTCTTCTGGCCTTACAACGTTTAGGTGCCAAAAGTGCTGTGTTATGGGAGAAAAAGGGTTGTTAACTAAATAAAGGAAGAACGAAAAAGAAGCTAACTTTTTATTGCATGAATGATTTGTTTTGCATCTGGTGGGACTAACTTTATACTGCTGGGTTGCTCAATCCCTAATAACATCCCTCTTAATGTTCTACAAACATACAGTGAAACCAAAATAGAGACTATAGTAAAATGAGGTATACACCAGGGATTTCCACGGAAGCTATCTCTCGTAACGCCATGCACTTACCCGTGACAGCTCAGACTCGGAGACGGAGCGCTGTGGCGGCGCGCGGCGCTGGTACATGAGGGGGCTGACGTCCTGGTAGCTCGGGCTGTCGTCGTCAAGCAGCAGAGGCCCTGCGTCCACCGACTCCTCCTCTTCCTCCGGCTGTGACTTCATGTCCTCCGGGCACATCTGGTGGTCAATGCCATTCTGGCTCAGGTTGCAGTGAACAGCTGTTTGGGCAAGAGGAGAAAAAAAGGAATGAGCTACGACTAAGGTTATATTTACTGTCATGGCTTACAGTTGTATTTCATTGTGGACCTGCTTAATATAAATACGTTTTAGTATTTTTGGCGGCCACTTCATCGCTATATGACCTGCTTAATAGTATCCAAAATACACTGCAATAGGATTTATTATTTAAGGTGACTTCCAGCTGCTATATTACATCATTTCAAAACTCTACTGATTATATTACCATGTGAGAGGATGTTAAATCACAACAGGTCCTCCCACATTGAGTGCTGTACTGTTAAAAGTCCACTAGATGGTGGCAGATAGTGATACATGAAGTAGAGTTTCAATCTATAAATACAGTCTATGGTTTCAATGCAAGATTATACACTTAGACCATAAAGAGACTGTAAAATAGTATACCGTCTTTGCAGATAATACACAAGAAAGCAATGTACTTGCCATCAAATCACACCAACAAAATAAAGATAAGTCCTGTTCTAATAGATACTAATTTAAAGTGTGAAGCGTTCTGCCAAATTCAAATATTGAAACTTTAGGCAAATGCTTTTGTTTTCAAAATTCTTCTGGTAACATAAAGGGTTGACTTAATGAGACAAAAAAACTATTGGAGTTGTAATGCTTTAGTCTTAGTTTGGTGTTTCCAGTAGCTACTGGCTGTTCACGTTAGCTATTGCTCGCAGACCTAAGATAGTAGTATCTATGTCAGTTTGCTGGCTTTTTTACTTTCCTCTGCTCTGCTCCTGTAAAGCCACATTTATCGTTCATCCTCATCCTTTCTTTCCTTTGAGGCTGCTCTTCAGCACATGCTATGTGGTTTTGCTTTAACAAAGAGAAAGCTAAGCTGTTTTCCAAAAGTGTGCTTTTATTGATATTTATGGAGCTGTCTCAGTACTCTCTAGAATTCCAGATGTGAGGAGTCACTCTATTCCTGTTGTGCAGTTCGTCAATGACATGGCACCTTCAAAAATCAAGTGAATTTAGTTTGCATACCGTTTTAAACATTAGGTTTATTCCAAACCCAGAATTATGGAATTGGGATGGATTTTACAGAACAATGGCTTTACAAAGCATCAACAATTAAATGCACTATGTTTGTAGATATGTTGTGGATGTTAAACTTAACCATTGACAACCCAAGAGACAGAACTGTTTCAGTCATTGAAACAAATGATTGATTATTAAGCATGTACAATAGACAGTGAAATTGATCACTGCTGTGTTTTGCTGGAATACAAAAACACAATTGCAGATAAAAAGCCGGGCCTTGGTGAGAGATCAACCATTGGACAGCTCTAAATAAATGTTAGCCTAGCTTTTTCTGACAAATGTTCAGTCGAGTTCAGACCTCTGGCAGATGAATTGAACATAGATACATCCTCTAAAACCACCAAATCAGTTCTCAAGGTGAGGATGATTGTGCTTCAGTGAAGGCTGTGTGTTAGACTACAGATTTTAGGAGATGAAATCGGCAAGGCAGACATTTCTCCTTGTAAAGTTGTATGTCATTACTTTGCCATTTCCGCCATCAAGTGATTATTATAAGTTAAGTATTGTTTTCGAAGGAGGCGTCAGGCTCTATTTTAGTCTCTATCAGGATTGTGGGCGCAGAAGTGACAGCTCGCAGTGACAAAAACAGGAAAAAACAAGTGATAGAAATATGCTGTTTGACATCATACAATCTGCTTACTTGTTCCAAAAACATACAGGTCGATCACTCATTTATGAGGAATGAGAACCAAAGACACTTCTTATCACACCTGAAGGCTGCTGCTGCTTAAAGCTTGAGTAGTAGATTTCTGTAATTATTTAACCAAAAAAACCCAGGCAAGGGTTGCCAGATCTTTTGAACTGACAGTAGCAAGCAGCACTGGCTCCAAATTGCTTAATCTAGTGAGGAAGATGGCAAAGTTGGCAAAGATAAGTTCAACACATATTACTGTTAAATGTTTCTAAAATACATTTCCCATCCTAGCTGTAGAGATCGATTCCAAATATGCTTTTCTGAATGCTCTAAAGAGAGTGAGAACAAATTGAAAGACATAAATGGTCTGTAACGAGAAACAAAAGTTTCAAACAGAAGTTTGACGGATTCGCTAAAGCCAATAAATGGGATAACTGCGAAAATAAACAAATGTTTCAACCAGACAAATTGCTGTTGGCTAAATAAGCAAAGATGACAGACAGCCAAGCAAACCCTGGAAAACCACAAATTACTTCTTTCAGGCCGCTGTCATCAAGCAATTAGAAAAACTCTCAATGATTGGGACAAGACAACAACACATCATCTGTGCCGATATCTATTTGACAGGAGTGAAGGTGCTCCTGCCCTCCTCCATGACATGCCATTTCAGAATCAAAGCAGTATATGATTCGGTGACCTAATGCACCGCAAGCCGCATTTATGGAAAGCAAAAACTCTCCGGGAAACGTCCTCCCCCACGACCCTAAATCACACCTTGCTGTCAGGATGGTATTGAAAATGTTTCTCTTCTCTACACTTCCACTGATTATTCTGAGGACACGGGAGTGTTTGTTATAGACGGTGTCAGAGAGCACGGCACCTTGCACAGCTTTCTGGTGGATCACCCAGAGGAGATGATGGGATTTATGCCTCTCAAGCAACACACTGCCAGAATGCCAACAAATAGAAAAACAACAGTGGACATTTGCTCAAGGACTGGACCTAAGTACAATTTGAAGGTCCTTTTCCTTATCAAGTGTACTCTACGATGATTTAATCACAACACTATTTCATTAAATGATGACACATTGTCCTACCTATACCTTTTTTATACATAATGAATACTTTCACTTAGAAACCATAAGCACATTTGTATAATGCTGTACTGAAGGTGTGAATGTACTTTTACTTAGCAGGGTGTTTCCATAGTGTTCCACTGGTACTTTTATTCCAGGATAAGGTCTGAATACTTATTCTGCCAGAGTCTTATTACTTGTGTTTTTTCTCAGTGACCCGGAAAGGATATAATTAATGAATGAGCACACCATGAGAGATTGTTTTCAATGACACTATAACTATGCCAAGAACCTGACTAAAAGGTTGAATTGTGATTAACATTATAAAGCCACATCACAAACACAGCAGAGATGACCTGGTCTGTTCTGATCTCTGATAAGAAAACAAGGTCCCGAGACGCCCCCAGTAAAACGGAGATAATAAACATGAGCTGGCTGTGTTGAAAACAAAGCCAACTTGAGATGCGCAGCACGAAGCGTTGCTCCCTCTCCCTGCCTCTTTATTCATTCCTCCTCTCCTCCCAGCTCACTCCCGCCCCTCACCCTGACTCAATTCATGACTGGTGTGCAACAACTATGGAGGAGAAATGAATTACACACATCCTCTGCCGATAGCAACTAAACAATGGCGCCAGCAGAGGGAGAGGAAGATGGATGGGTGAGAAGATGAGGATGATAGGGGTAAAGTAAGTGGAGGCACACAGAGGAAGGACAGAACGGGTGGGTGGGATACTGAAATGCTTTTACTTTTAAACGGAAACAGTTACTATAAATAGCACCATTACATTCTTCCCTCTCTCCTCCCTGACATGCAAGCATGGCGAGGGAAGAGAGATAGATGAGGAAGGGGTTTATTCTCTCAATGAGATCAGTAAAACAGAGGGCGAATGAGGGGAGAAAATGAATGGAGATGTTAAGAATAGCGGCATCCATGTCCAGCCAAATGAATTCCCATTACTGAGGGGAGGATTAATAAAGAATTGGATTAATCTTACATGACTCCGTCTCTTAATTACTGTACAGGGTTTGGAACAAGGAGCAATTACAAAGCCAGTCACAAGAACATTGTGTACGTCTGTGAGAGAGGAGCATGTAATCAGGATATACTGCTTAATCATTTTGCTCTTGCAACATTACACTTTGTGTGCTAAGCTCCCACACAAAGAATATTGAATATGGAGGTTTTAATAAACTTTCATTTGGCCTCTGCTGAGATGTTAAAAGGGTAAATGGAGGCCTAAAAATAAAACTCTACATCGTTGTTGGTGGAAGCTTTTCAAAAATACACGCCTAATTTTTTATATGCAATTTAAAAAAGTTTTGACTTAATCTTTTCCTACAAACATGGAAATGCACATCCAACTGATGGGATAGCATAAAAACTTAGGAGGTGTCTATTTTATATTGTTTTAAATTATTATTTGCCATTTTTCCGATCACCCAGCCAAATGATGTTAGTAGTAGCTGGCAGCAGTAATTCATCAAATACAATGAAAAAGTTCCTTAATAACATTAACCGGCCAAGCAGTGCTGAAAAAACAGTAACTTTTGAACACTTACCACAATACACCAAACAAATCAAAATCATTGACTGAAAATATAACCGAATACATGTCAATATTCCAATAACATAGATTCAGATTAACATAGATTCAGATTTAAGTCATTAAAGGTTAATGATTATATTGAGGGACAAAACATTTCTGAAGGACCTGTGTACTTCTTAATCACTGCATCAGAATTGTAACTCAGTTGCAGCCTGACATGTATACTTACAAAATGTAGCTGAGGGTTCAGCAAGTCAGATGACTCGATGTCAAAATGAGTTATTCTTACTGAACACTTACTATATTTAATAGAGTGTAAAGGGGGGAATAATATGTAATTATGTGGGCTATCTTTTCTCCTTACTTCCCCATAAATGTGTAGAAACTCAGCTGAAACAAATGCACGTTTGGAACAAAGATAATGGAAAAAGCCAAACGATGTTTTCGTGTGTTAACTGTGTGCTAACCCCAGAGCCTGTGGTACACAGCCAAGGCTGGTTCAGAGTGAAACCAGTAGTGGGTCCATAATCAAAAGTGAAGTTTGCTCTGTGTGGGCGCTCAGGCTCATAGTGATCTCTTTCTCTTTGGCTGACTCTCAAAGCGCAGCAGAATGAATAGTCTGTGAATACAATCAACTGTGTGACCCAGAAACAAAGCCTTGAGAAGGCAGG